GAGGATAATCAAACATATTGTGGACTAAACCATACAGATAGGACCTATGAAATGTGACTCGATGCTACGAGAAGCATAAGCCATCAGATCTGATAGAGTGATGTCTATAAAAAAAATGATGGACCATGCTACTTTGGTTGAGATAGGTTCTCGATATCGAGCAAGTTGATGGGTAAACACAAACTTCAATTTTTCCAAGATTTTGAATCATTTAAGAAAAGTCATCAAAGAGTCTAATTCAAAGTTTGAGGATGACTTATACTAGGAAATCATTTTCAACATGTAATGGACAGGGAATTGGACCACAATGTGATAATGGTGTAACATATACCAAAAGAACCATAATAATTCTTCTGGAAATATGATATCTGGACCAGGAGGTAAACAAAAGATCATTGAAAATGGATAATCTGGATGAACACCTAACATATCATACATGGATTGTCCATACTTTTCAATACATTGGATTTGATAAGAAAACATGAGGGTGATGGCATTTTCATCAATGGTGCGGGTTCAGACAAGGTCATTTTACTACTAAATATTCCACTCCCATTTCTGTTATAGCATTCTTTAATACTAGTACTAAAGAGGAATGTTATAATTTAAATATGGTTTGGAGGGCTGAGGAACCTTAGCAAGTAAAGAGTACTTTCTTTGTTTATGCGTCTATGATATAATTGAAAATGAGTAGAAAAATAGTTTGATTAGAAAGTTATTATGTGAGTGTAGCCAAGAGCAAAAAGATGTCCATATCATCTCAATTGGAGGATGGAAAGAATTAGAAAGACATCTCTTACTCAACTTGTTTAGAATAATCACGAGCTCATAAATAGCGTTGAGAAAAGAACATAGGTTTGTGCATTAGACCTGTTTGATGAGTTCAAGATTGCCAAAACTGTAATTGAGGCTCTTGAATATTCAACATAGAAATAAATCTATGTGGGAAATAAAATTCTTCTTGTTTTAGGTGATATGTGAACATAAAATCGTAATAAATAGGAGATGTTAAGTCATTGTTTTAAGAATTGTCTTACAGGAAGTAAAATTTTGGCTATCACACATAAAGAGGTAAGGCGACAATTGCCCATATAATAGAATCAGCTGAAATTATTAGAAGTGAGGAATTGTTTGGAGACAAAGGTTGATCATCATTAGGTGATTTGCATTTTTTGATAGATCTAGTGAAGAACGCAGAAAATTAGAAGAAGTTAGCAAGAAAATTCTAGCTAAGTGCAAGGGTTTACCTCTTGCTATAAAAACTAGTGGGAGTCTCTTGTACTTTAAAAAGAATATGAGAACTAGAAGAACATGAGAAATGCATTTTTTTTTATTTATCATCGGTGTCCGGGCCAGTTTGTGCACACCTCAACTAATCCTCTGAGCCCTGGAATTGTCAGCTGGATAAGAACCCCAATGGCCACCCTTATTAGTACCTAAGGGAGTCGGTCAAAAATGCATTTTTCCTCCTCTATTGCCAAGTTATAATGATTTGTCTGCTATAGTGAGACAATGTTTTTTATATTGTGCTCTCTTCCTAAAGGATTACAATATAAATAAGGAGTTGTAGTCTCATGTGTAATACCATGGTCTCTATAAAAAGAATCAAAGTCATTTGACTCATATTCACCTCCTCTATCTGTTCTTAACCTTTTAATTTATTTATTGAGTTGATTTTCAACTTCATTTTTATAAGTTAAGAACATTTAAATTGCTTCATCTTTACTTCTCAATAAGTATACTCTAGTATATCTAGAAGTGATCATCAATAAAAGTTATATAAAACTTTTTTCCTCCTCTGGTCATGGTTTGTTTTAAATCTCCAAGATCACTGTGAATTAAGCCGAGAAGCTCATTTTCTCGTTCTAGAACTGGTTTACAAGTCTTTTTAGTGGATTTAGATTCCACACACACATCACATTTATCAATATTTGAAATATTGACATTTGATAATACACCAAATTCTTTCATCTTTTTCAGATAACCATAATTCACATGACCTAATCTACCATACCATAAATCTATTGAATCAATAACATAAGTAGAAGAAGATACATTTTCATTCATAATAATATTAAGTACATTGAGTTTAAATAACTCTCCAGAACAATACCCCTTCCCAACAAAAGCCCCATTCTTGGACATTACAATTTTGTCACCCTCAAAGGAAACTTTCACTCCAACCTTTCTCAATACATAAACAGATACAAGATTATATCGAATGTTTGGAACATGTAAAACATTACTCAGTGAGATGGTTTAAGAATTTTCCCCTTTCCCAAAATAGGAGTAGAGCAGGAATCACCAAGGTAAACACATTATTCTCCATCCCTCACTGGTATGTATTCATAGAAAGAATTTCTATCTCCACAAATATGTTTTGTGGCCCCATAATCAATTATTCGTTCTTTCTTTTCAACAACCATGTTCACTTGTGAGAGAACCACAACAGCAATAACATCATGTCCCTTAGCCAGATTAACTTTATGAGGATTTTTGTTGTCTCCAGTTTTTCTGTTTTTGCGTTGGCTAGCAAAATATCCAATTTTCCCACGCACAAAACAGTGTCCTTTCTTTTTGAAAGCGTTGGGGTTTTTGTTGTTAAAAAATTAATTTCTTGTAATTGTTCTTAAAACTCTATGGTTTCTTGTTTTTAGGATGAGGAAAAACCACTTGGTTTTCAACAACATTAGCCTTGGATGTCAACTCCTTGGCCTTATCGGCTTTATCTCTAAGCCTATTCGTCTCCTCAATCCTAATATGCACTATCACATCTTATAAGCTCATTTGCTTCCACTTATGTTTCATACTATTCTTATAATCTCTCCATGAATCTGGAAATTTCTCAATTAAACAACTAGCCACAAAAGTTTCAAGGAGAATTATTTCTTCATTTTTCAAGTCATTTATAAGCAAATGATAGTCATGGACTTGCATGGATACCTCTTTTTCTTCTACCATTTTAAAATCTAGGAAGTCTCCTATGGCATATTTTTGTGATCCAGCATCCTCAACAACATATTTCTTTTTCAGGGTTGTCCATATCTCATGTGCAGTCTTATAAGCGCAATAAACATCATAAAGCTCATTCGATAATGTACTGAGGATAGTATGGCGACATACCTTATTTCCTTTATTCCATGTGTCAAATTTTTTTGTCAAAGTTGTCCACTCCAGGTTTTGGTTCTTCTATTGAGAGATACTCTGCAAAACTGAGCACGTCCAAGGAGTTGAATAGTTTTTCTTGCAACCTCTTGAAATGAGCTCCGGTAAAAGGCTCAATTTTGGAGATGTCAGGAAGAGATTTGGCGGTGAGAATGGCAACATCCATCTCGGCAAATTTCACTTAAAATTCTGATCTTAAGAATGTTGGATTTACTACAAATCCTATAAACAACAATAAGACAACAAAAAAAAAACAGTAGCAAGATAACAAGAAAAATAGGAGCAAGATAGTAGCAAAAATAGCAGAAGAACAATAGTAAAACAACAACAAAAACAGCAACATCAAGGCATGCAAAAGCACTGTCCTTAAGATCAGAATTATGCCCCCTACTGGAAGAATCTTTGTGATGCAAAAAGGCTCAACAACAAATTGACCTCTAGGATACAATGACGAACCTCCTTTTAGAGTGCACACTCTAACAGCGGTTTAGAATAGCATAAGGAAGTGTAATAGTGGTGAAGGAGAGCTGGAAAGTTAATAAAAAAACAGATGAAACAAGGATTATGTCAAGTTAAATTGTATTTTTCAAATGAGAAACACACTCTTTTTTATACTTAAAAATTTGCCCGTTTTCCCTTAATTCATTCTTGTAGTAACCGAAGCAATTCAATTGCTTTTAATAGCTTAACAGTCCAAGAATTTAATTACTCTTTTAATAGCATAATAGTCCAAGAATTCAATTACTTTTAGAACGTAACAGTCCAAAAATCAATTAAAATTGGTATTTTGAAATATTATAACTGCCAGCTATTATCACAGTGCGCACCTCAACTAATCTTCTGGACTCTAAAATTGTCGATTGGATAAGAGCCCCAATGGTCATCCTTATTAGTGTCTTCCTCCTCTATTGCCAAGTTATAATGATTTGTCCGCTATAGTGAGACAATATTTTTTATGTTGTGCTCTCTTCCAAAAGGATTACAATATAAATAAAGATCAATTGATCAAAATGCAAAAAGACTGGATGATACAACCAACAAAAAACATATTTAATTTTATTACAGGTTGCCAAAATTTGTGTTTTTGTTTAGATCTTTGTTTGTAAAAATAATATAAGTGATTAATGTCCATAATTTTATATTATTAAAACTGAATATAATTTATTTACAAATAAATAAATAAATAAATAAAAACGGAATTCGGGCTGGAGTGGGGAATGGTTTTAATTTCAGGGAATCCCCGGCCCGATCCCCGCTTCCGAGGACAGGGATTCAATTTCAATTCAAGAAGGGGGATGGCGATCCCCGGCTCGTTGCTATCCTTACTAATGAGAAAGCTTGTCATGCAAAGTTGAAGCTTGGGATAGGCTTCAATTGCCCTACTGAATGAGTGCTGAATATTTGTATAGCAATCAACGATTTTCCTCTGCCTCTGGAAAATTATGAAGTTTGGAGTCAACACAGATCTATGAAGGTGGCTGCAAAAATCAAGTGAGTAGGATCATCAAAGGATTCACAATCTGATATAGACAAGTTCAACAAAATGGTAGCAGAAGGCTGATGGACAACGCTTTATAGTTGTTTCAAATTAGATACTGATTCTCTTGTTATTCTGAAGAAAAAAAGCTACTAAAAATTATGTAAAATTTTGTGTTTGGAACCATTACTTCTCTTGTTCTTTCTGTTTAATTTTTTAGTGACCCTGCATTCCCAAAAAATCAGATTGAGACAAACTAGAATCTCTGGCCACTTTGTTTCTGAGATCTAATCAACTTTTGTTACTGTATACATACAAACATACACACATACATACGGTAAGTAAATATTCATTAAAACTAACCATCAACTACTATGTCTTTGTTAGAATATTGCCTATGTCGTTGAATGATCAAAATTGAACTTTTCAGGTCAAAATCTGAAGATGCCAATAGATCTCCAAGCGTCCCAAGTTCCGGGCACTCCTCCCAGTCACTCATCCCTGTTGTCATCGGTGACCGCCCTCTCCCGCCACCCTTCCCAACTATATATAATGAATACTCCATTGTCTCCCCAATGTCCCTTAGAGTCTGCACTGTTTCTGCTCCATTGCTAACATACTTCTCTATGTATCCAACTTCACCTGTTGTCACATACCTGAAAAAAAAAAAAAAAAAAAAATTGCAGTGTCAATAACTAGAAATGAGAAGTATGTTTTCGAGGGATTAATATGTTATCGACACAATAATATATTATTCGACTAATAATAGTACTTGGCTTGGCACGTACTGGGACAACTTTTTAATGCTATGACCTTATATGCAGAAGTATATAGTTAAAATGTGTTTGAGGATAATTACCTGAGTCGAAAGTCCTCAATGAAGGTGTCGTCTTTAGCAACTTCAGTCTCATTTCTTGCTAAGGACATCATGAGCATTCCATCTCTTGAGGATGCATCAGCAAGCTGTACTCTTTGTGATTCTGAAGGCAGAAATCTGATGACAGTTAAATTGATATGAGCGTTTCTAGCAATCCTTTTGCTACACGACAAGGCCTCACGATCATCAGAGCCACCAAAAAACAACATTGCTACATGTTGCACACTTTCAGAGCCAATTGGTTGCTGAAATCCAGTTTGGCTTCGATCCACAAGCAATCCGACTGAGCATGGAGCATGGCGAAGAATCTTCTGATTAGTAGTCCTGTACCCTTCCTTGCTATTCTCGAGGATCTTATCAATGCGCTGATGCTTATGAAATGGCAGGAAAATTATCGACACACGCAAGTCCTCAGCTCCGGTGCATACATCTTCATACATGTTTGCAAAAGAATTAACAACTTTTATTTGATGGACTTTCCTATTGGTCTGCAAGGTAAAGGCATCAACAGCATCATTGATCTCGAGCACATCGTTGCCACCATATTCTTCCTCATCACTGAACTGCCCGCCATCTTCAAGCTGGTTGTACATCAACTGAGTTTTGCGGCGTTTCTTGGGGAGCTCCACCAGGTGCATCAAGTAAGGGTTAACGGATTTCCCCATGGCTGCAGTAAGTACAAGGTGTCCAGAAGCATGGCGTGGCTCGTATGCACAAGCAAGCAATCTGAGTTCACTTTCTGCTTCAAGTGATTCCACCGCAGTATTGGTGTGAGCAAAATATCTTTCCCTTCTTTTCAATATATAAGCCACTGCTGGCCCTGAGATCAGTGTATTAACCACCACTACCAGGAAAAGCAAACGGTGAATTTTACCACTCCACCAAGTCTGCAACAATACATTGATAATTAGTATAGACATTCATTTTCACTGATATTTCCAACATCAGGACGTTTGCATTAGAGAACTAGCCGCATTTTCTTTATGCTCAAAGTTATCTGTGTTTTCTTAATGATTTAGTCGAGATTCAGAACAAGTGTTATGAAGAAAATATTATATCAAGTTCCAGAAATTTAGGATATCTTCTAATGTCAATAGTCATTAACTGAATTCCAATAAATTTGTGCAACAATAAGCATTAGGCCAAGAAAAAACTTACCAAAGAATCGATTTCTCCATCGATGAGTAGAAGTTCGAAATTGCCTTTCAAATTGAGAATCAAAGCCAGAACTAGTCCTTTCAACATTGGAATCTTGAGGTGATAGCAGGCAGCCATTGTGCCAATAATCTTGGTCCCAAAGCTGAACAAGATCAAGAAAATAACAGCAGAGATGTTTTTAACAGTATTTAGATCGCGTGTATCGAAATTGAACCCCATGTAGCCGAAGTAAATTGGAAGCAAGAAGTTATGAACAGAGTAAGTGAGTTTTTTAAACAAAGTCCTGGTTGTTTTGCCTTGCCTTGGAAACATCATCCCCATGAGAAATCCTGTCATTGTACTGTTATAACCAAAAGATTCTGCACCTATAGAAACTCCCACCAGAAGCGCCAAAATCGCTACAACCTGAGCATTCGATACATATTTTGAGTTCCTATTCCATTTCGCAAACCACATTGCCAATTGCTTGTTGAGATAAACAAGTCCCACAGTTAAAAGAATGCAGTACAATGCATATCGAAACATAACCCAGGAAGAAACCGCGAGATAAGTCGAATAAACCAATACACATGACATTTCACTGATCACAGAAGAAGCCATCGCCAATCTTCCAATATCTGAAGTGTCGAATTTTAACTCGTCGATCAAACGAATCGCCACAGGAGAGGCTGTGTTTGCCAGAAGTATCATAACAACAAGAACGAATGAGGTCCTGTTGGTAGTAACCCCTACTCCATCTATAAGGAACCAAGATATAGAACCTCCAAAAATTATGCTCATAACAAAAGCACCAAGGGAAATGGTGCTCGCCACACGCAAATTCAGTCTCATATAAGGAATATCCAAGCCAAGACCAATCAAGAACATAAAAAGGATGCGACTTACAAAGGCAAAAAATCGATAGTACAATGCAGAAGCATCCTGCAGAAAGAATTGTCGAATTTTGTTGATTCGCGACAATAATGTGGGACTCAGAACTAGTCCTGCCTGATGCAACAAAACACACAAAAACAACATCACATATATGTCAGGACACACTCATTACCAACATGTTTTTCAAAAACGTTTTTATATTCGAATCCGAAACTAATATAAAAACAAAATGCTTACAAGGATTTGCGAGACGGGTCCTGGCTGGCCTAAAGGCTTGAAGAAGAGGTGAAAAAGATGAGCAATAACAAGCATACATGAGATCTGAACAATAGATGTTATAAGAGGATTAAAAGGGTCTTCAGGGCACTCAATTGTCTTGGCAGCTGCCATTATTATTTAATAATGCAGGCCAAAGAAGGATTTAATGTTAAGTGGGTGACAAGATGAGTGAAAATGGTGAGTTTTGGGAAGATTGAAATGATTGTGATTTGCAGGCAGTTTCAAGAGAGAAAAAAGAAAGGTGAGAAGCTGCCATTAGGCCTTAATTTTTTTATTTTTTTTTTCTTGTAATTCTTCTTAATTAATTTTCCTTGAAAATCTCTCAGTTTTCCTCTCTGGCTGTATTTCTGTGGTTGTGATGGAAGATTTGTTGTTAGTAAGGATGGTAATCTTTTCATTAATCTTCAGTTTGTTTTCCTTATGGAGAAGCTTGAATTCCGGGGGATAGTTATACCGATTTATCTACATGTGCAACTCTGCATTTCAACTTACAAAACATTACAATTTACTACCAATTTATTATAACTTCATTATCCAATAAATAAAATACATTAGTGTCACATTCGAACTTGGTCTTAAACCCTTGATATAATAAAATCGATCATATGTTGGATTCAATCTAATTCAGTAATGGATTGTATTTAATTAATAAAATTATAAATCATCCAACATTTTTCTTTTTTTTTTTCGGTGACCAAGAGTGTTCAGACCGGCTTGTACATACCTCAATTAATCTCCGAAAGCCCTGAAGTGAACGACCATCCAACATTTGATCCAAATAATATCGAGAAAAAAAACTTGTTGCAGTATATAGATGAATTTTAAACATTAGAATCCCATTTTTCTGTTGGAGTTAGTGTAAACCCTTCACATCACAGAAATTTAACGACTAAACACAAGCAGTTGGTCTATGAATTCAAAATCAATACAATAAATCTGTAAACTAAATAAACCCAAAGGGAATAACAAGTTTCTGTGTATTGACACCGAAACAATGATTTACAGGATGCTTCAGACAATTTACAATGAGGGATTCGTTCGTAGAATACATTATAACTACTGGGTTTTAATTCATGGACCGAAAGAAAACCAAAAAAAAAAAAATGTAGGCAGTGAAAAAGAACATTTGCTACAAGCTAACCAAAACTCAAATATGCTGCCGCCATGCTCGCCAAAGGAACAGATATGTTGTCATCTAATACATCTGTTATCGGTAAGGACTCAATGATGGTTGCAACCAACGAGACTAAAGCTACTCTTTGCATCGTCGATTCCCAATCCAGTTGGAAATATCCCAAAACTGAGTAGTAGTACAGCATCCTATATTGTAAGTACAATTTTATGTCAGTGTCGAAAATCAACTAGAGTGAGCAAAAAATAAATCATTAAGTTTGGAACGCACCCAACAGAAGCAAAGAACCCGAAAACAAACATGGATATACTACCAGCCCAACTCTTCTTTTTATTATAGAAGATCTTTGCGGATCCAAATTTTCTTCCCATGATGTCGGCAACACCTATAAATCATCACACCAAAAATAAATAACCGAGAGAAGAGAGCCATCTTGGGAGTAAGTAAAGAAGTTACCATCCCCGGCACACATCATTGACACTGAGATCACCCCGACTGGAGAGTCGCGCCAAAAGAGGACAGCACAGAGAATTAACATCAGAACGTAATATAATGGCCCCTTAAGCAACTCCCTGTAAGAGAACATTCAAGCTAGATCAAATCCAGCATCAATCGCATGTTTCAAAGAGAAAAGATCTAAACAGTTTGATGATATAAGTGATAAGAAAATTACTCTGGGTTCCCTTCTCGGGTAACAGATTTTATGAGTCCTTCATTCCTAACCAATGAGAGGCCATGAACGAGAAGTCTGAAGCAATTTACAAGAGGTACCAAAGAGGCAAAATAGCGAGCCCCCGTTGACGTGCTATGCTAGTATTAAAAAAATAAACAGAAGTAGTTAGGATACATACACAAATCGACCTTGATAGATCATTGAAAGATACCTGAAAATTGGCAACGAAACCATGAATAGCAACCCTGACAGTATATGGACCAATTTTCGGCTCAAACTCTGTTCCAATCATTAAACAAAAAAAAAATCTCTTAGATGCTCAAGAATTGAAGTGATTGCGGGCTGACAAAAAAAAAAAAAATTTCCAATTCCCGGAAAAAAGCACTTGCAACACAAACATTTCATACTATTTTTAACAACATAGCTTCAAGAAAACAAAAACAAAACGCATTCAGAAAACAGAACTACTAAAAGTTTACTACTTCAGCCATTCTAATCCATTATTTTTTACCAACATGCATACATATGCATGTCCAAACACATAATAGAACATTACTGGAAAAGATCAAGATTTCCAAACGTTAAATTTGGATTCATAACATGCTAGATCAATTTGATGACATCCAACATCTAACGAAAAAATGAAATATTGTCTTACTCATTTGGATGACTTTTAATAAACATAGAATGTCAATAACATGAATATCTAGCATGTAACAAGTATTGTTTGTATAAAAAATTATCAATTTAGTCGCTATAAATTCAGTAATTCCTTTGGCACCCCAGTTTTTGAACTAAAGATTCGCCCGACGAACTTAACCCCCCTACTCTGGTCCCCACAAAAAAAATCCTGGCGCCAGGTAACAAACATGATCTGTACATTACAGGTACGCATTCATCAATGAGGTCCTTCTACATTATTGGGCGGTTACTTTAGTTCTCTTTCCATAGAAATACATTGTATAGGAAGCCTATATAGTATTGATCTAATAACATTACTGGGAGTCTCACTCCCGGTATTGTAGCATTTAGCTTCCTACTCACCAAGTTACCACACCAGTTGAAGTAAGAGCTACATGTTCAACAATTGACCGTAGCCCCATTGACTATCCATCCATCCACGGTTTAAACTGGCCCGGTAACATTGCCAGCCAGGGCCCATTATAGTAAATATTTATAGATCCTAAATTCCTAATCCATTATCAATCAGTAATATGGCAACTATTGAAAAATCCATCCAAAAACTCCAACAAACGCTAAGCGCAAAAAAGAAAAATTGGTCTTTTACAGCAACATTAACGGGCCACTTCCAACCGTTGGATTGAAATCAGTTTCGATTGGATTATTCCCTGCCGCTAACATCTCTACAGTCGACGGTAACATAATAATTCACCAAAATTATACAGAGGGCAGGCAGAACTAGAGTGCTGGGCCAGCCAGCCCAGCTTAGCCCTTGGATTAAGAAAAAATAAAACCGCCTCAAAAACCGCGCTCTCTTACGGAGCACACTTTAGTGCAACAACTCTAAAAGCTCATCCTTCAATGCAAAACCAGTATGGTTACCGACCCAGCACCAAAAAATTTAAAAACAAAAGACAACAAGATAATGCTAAAAGAGAGAGACACCTGCTGGACGACGTTTCGTTGAGTGAGAGTATCGAAACCGAGAACAAGACCGTAAGCACCGGCGAGTACAATCGCAGTGGCTCCAGCGTCATGCAACAAGTCGCCGATACCGGCGGCGGCTCCACACGTGGGGCGGGCCCAGTAGGAGCGGTGAGGATAGAGGAGGAGGAAATCACTGCGTGGGAAAGTTGAGGCAGTAGGTGAAAGAGAGAGAGACGGACGGTTGGTGGCAGGCGCGTGTAGTTGGTGGCGCCGGTGGTGGTGGTGGCGGAGAATAATTGGATTAGGGAACGAGGGAAGGTGAGTTGAGGATGAGAGGCTCATGTTAAGAGAGAGATGATGGTTATGCATGAAGTGAAAGCTCAGTTGAGTTTAAGGTGTTAAGTGTCAAGTGTTTTGTTCTAGTTTAATTGGTGGAGTCATGAAAAGTTCTAGTTATTTTTTATTTTTTTATCATATGATTTCTTTGAAATTTACATATGCCTTAATTACAATTTTTTTTATAAATATTATTAAATGCTACTAAACAAACGTTATAGATTATAGAAAATAATAGGGGTATTTTTATTTAGAATTTTAATTAATTAAACTTATAAAAATAAGTTTGATAGAAATGAATTAAAATATTTTTTAAAACAGATTTTGCATACAATTTTGAAACTAGTATGAAATTTGAAAATGATTTCATAAGTTTTTTTTTTTTGTAATTATTTATTCAGAACAATTTTTAAATATTCTATTAAAAATATTAAGATATAACTTAAGATTTTGATTATATTCGAATTCTGAAAATTTATTTCGACAATTTACAAATCACATAACTAAGTTTATTATTTAGTGGAATGAAGGCAGGCTTTTAAAATTTAAAAAAGATTCCTCATTTTTACGGAATTTGGGTACTGGTGGAGGGAGCATTTTACTTTACTTGGATTAGGTTTAGATTAAAATAAATATATATATATATTTTTTTTTTTACTTTATGTGGTAAAAAGTTTTGAAAGAAATGGAATCTTCAGTTAGTAAAGATGTCGGCCAAGATGACGGAGCTGAGTGTGAGGGTTCAATTCATCACCACTCTGTAGCCATAATTGTAATTGTACGACAGCGGTTGACTCAGATATGATGCCAATTCAAGCTCCATGAATGTAACACTTCAACTGGATATGTTCCCATTTCCAGCTCAGTGAAACTAACACTTACCAACTTCATAACGTTTTCCTCATTTATGTGTGTTTGACTGCCGTGGCTCTCTTCCGTCACTGTTTCTTTTGAATCAAATAAAATATATATTTTATTACCGTCACTAGCACTCCTCAATAGCTTAAAGGAAAGACAGAAAATGAATGCATTCTTCTAGGGGCTCACCATCTCCAACAGCAAGATGAATAAACTTAATTTCATGATACATTTTTTCCGATTGGGTTAACACAAAATTGAGGGGTAAAAGGAATATAAAAACAGTATCTCCAAAAATGGCAACTAAACAATTACTCATGTCGTTTTCTTACGTGCGAATCGTTGCAACGACGACGGTAATTCGACGTCCTCACTTGTCTTCTGCTTCTTTTTGGACAAGGCTTGTTCTTTCATTTGTTGCTCCAAGAATGGCCTCTTGGCTTTCACAACAAGTTCCTGCTTCTTCTTGGCTTTTTTACTTGGCTTATTCCTCCCCTTTGTTTT